TCCCCTAAACAATATGCAAATTAGCCATGTGGTCACAACAGGAAGTTTCCCTGTACCTAGTTCCAGTACCTAGTTCCCTGTTGGTTCTCCGAGGAACTGAGGTCTATCATTAACAGGGAAAAGTCATCTTAAAAAGAAATTAGTGAGTGAGTGATGACTTTTATGACCAATCAAAAGAGTTGGACTACTCCTACAGTCCCGCCTCTTCATTATTTTTGGGGGAAACAAAAACAGTGCTTGTTCCTTTCAGTTCCTGGTGTCAATGGAAACACGCACACATCCTGGTTCTCTACCCAGTCACTGGCACTAGTTCCTGTAGTGTACACACTATGTCTGTTATATGTTTGACCTTTAGGGAGATTGAACTCTGCGTGCAGTACTGAAGCACAATGGCCGACGGTTCCTGTAACATCTGGTGAGAAAATCCGACATCTGTTTTAGGGACATATTTATTATGTTTTGGTTTCAGCCTATGCTTCTTATTTATTGTGTTTAAGTTGGTGAATGTAACTAATATAATTTTTCCTTTTTTGTCTTTTTTTCCATGTTTGATCAAGTGCATGCAGTGAAGTTTAATTATTCACTGGAAAAAACAGGAAAATTTAGGTTTTTTTTTGTTTTTTTGAACCAAAAGTCACTTTTCACTTATTTTTGAATGTACCTAAAAACTCAAATTGAATTTGAGTTGAATATAATGGTGAGTCTTAAATGTAATATATTGCTGTTAAATTGTTTTTGTGTGTGTGATAATGTGTTAGTGTCGCTTTGTTTTTGACATGAAAGGGTTTATCTTTTTACAAAATGCTGTTTGTCTGTAACTTTCTCTGGTAAAAAAAAAGAAAATGTTGCTTCGTACAAACAAATTCTTTCAAATCAGTAAGTCAAAAATAAAAAAATAAAATTTATATTAATGTAAAATTTCTAAATTAAAGGAAATTCTGCAGGAGAAGTGTGCTAAATGTTCACAATTAAACTAATCTCTCTGGATCTTGTCAGTCCACAGAGTTCAGTCCTGTGACCCACGTTTGTATCAGGAACCAACAATTGAGTGAAATCGTTTTGTAAACTTTTTTTCCCTTCACAACAGAACCATTGAAATAATGTGTTTTTGTTCCAACTATTTCCAGAGATTGTTACCAGACCATGTGACTGAATGTGTGTAAAGTTTGTATGTACGTTGTTTTTCATGTGTTTCGTTCCACGGAGCTACTGAGGTGATGCTGAGAAGATTTTGGAATGTTTTTTACCAAGTGGTTTTTCTACTGAGTTTTTCTAAAAGCAACATATACAAAAAAAAAAAAGGAAAATCATTCTGTGGTCAACTTCTGATTTCCTAAGAATGAGAAATCAGCCAAATAACGATGACTATTAAGAATCTGTCCCACCCACGTGCTCTGGATGATTATGTCATCCATATTGATGCATTTGAACTTAAAAAAAGGCGAGGCAGCGATATTACGGAAAATACCCGAATTGTTACTCCTTTCCTAAATGTCTGAGGAAAAAAAAATGTCTGAAATGTAAGGTTTTTCACAGAATCACAGAAACTAAAGTCAGCCATAAGCAACAGTGTCCCTGAATTGGAGTATTTAACCGAACTAGCCCTTTAAATATTTGAATTTTTAAACCTCTCTTTTTAACCAGTTTAAAACAGTCAGGTATGACGGTATTTTATTTTTTTTAATTCAAATTGAACAGTATTTTGAAACAGTATTGTGATCGTGAATGTGCTTCTGATGATCAGCTGTCAGATTCTGACACAGATGTGGTGACTGCAGTGTTTCCTCTGTATTTCAGGTTTAATGTTCCTTCAATACGACTCTGTCCAACCTCGTCACCGTCACCTCATCCTACATACACTGTGAAAGTATCTGGACATTTCTCATTTCATCCGATGAACTTTTTAGGGTATCAAACAAGTGAAATATTTCTGCTTCATTAAAAAAAAAAAAAGACTGTGAGTGGGTTTTGATCTTTGTCTTTTATGTGATTTTGCTCTAGTTTTACAAAAGTTCTCCCTGAAAGCAGCGGTACAACAGATGTAACAGACGTAAAACGTTGATAGCTGAAGAAGCAGTTGCTGCAAAGTGTAAATAAAAAAAGCTA